GATGCCTCGCAATTGCTGAAATCTGATTACCCTGAGATAAGAGCTACGCCAAATTCTACTTGTATAAATTTGTACCTAAGGAATGAGAAAGAGAGAGAGAGAGACAGAGAAAAGAAAGAAAGAAAGAAAGAAAGAAAGAAAGAAAGAAAGAAAGAAAGAAAGAAAGAAAGAAAGAAAGAAAGAAAGAAAGAAAGAAAGAGACTCTAGAAAAATGAATGCTTCCATTTATTCCTTCAAAATATAATATAAACAAGGAAACAAAGAAAATGCAAATAGATTCAGGATGCCATTTGCACTCAGGGGGAGAAATTAATAAAACAGTTCCATCCTGAAAGAAAGACCAAAAATCGACCTCCATTTGAGAAGCTAATTTATGCACTCCTGAGTCCTCATACAAGTTAAGCAGCACAGAATATCACAGCAGGCATAGAACAACAGATCTTGAACCCTGCTGTGTTTGTTCAAGGAGGCAAGTTAAGCTATTCCTAACAGGAAACAAAACACGCCGTCGGGCTGTTAAATAGGGATCATTTTGCCATACTGCGCAGCCCTGAATGCATCAATTGCTGTTCCAAACAGGATTAGAGATGTGGTTTGCTTTAACTATGGTTTTGTGAAAAATGCTTATGCCTACTCAAAATTCTCAGGCTGATATTAACTAATATGGTGTCAGGAAAGACATAGAGCACCTAGGAAACCTTTAAGAAATGGTCTTTGGTAAATTCCTAAATTGTGTGGATGCAGCAGAAAATGAAGGGAAAGGGTACCAGGGTCTGGACATGTTCATCCACATAAAAAGGCACATTTGGAATTCCCCGAGGAGTATTTTTGACTTTAAACATTCAAGGCCCACTGTACGTTGATTAAACCTATATTGATTAAATTAACCCTGCAGCGAATAACTGATGTTTAGCTTCTACAGACGGAACCTATGTGAAGAAAAATGCAGCTAGAAAAATGGACGACTTTGTTCAATAGCATTACCACTGAACATACATTTGTAAATGGCTTTGGGTAATTCCGCTATGTTATTATCATAAAATCAGATCTCTTGGACATTTTTGTAGAAGTAAAGAAGAATTTTAAAAAGGCAGACCTTTTTACACATAGACCTCTCTTCACTGCTGAATTTAGGGACAATCAATCCACCAGAGAAACTGGTCCAATTTCTACCCAGAAGAATGAATTTGTGATGCCTTGAAAGTGCTGCATCTGTATTGCTACATTTTTTTTTAGCCAAAACTTCAGGACACTGCCTCCATATTTGGGAAAAATATTTAATATTTATCAGGTTCATCACCAGTTAGTGCCACTCCAATTTTATATCAAGGCTTGAAATTTATAGAGTCTAGGAATTATCTTGGAGATGCTTAAGAATCATAGAAAAAATAATATATATTTTTTCAAATTGTTGTTCTAAAACATTGTCATAAAGCACTAGAAGAGAAGTTTTGGAAGACCCTCAAAATATTAGAATCATGAAAACCATAACTTACAGACAACAGTCATTTAATGGCTGCCACACATAAGAGGGACATCCAAATGGGACATTTTTAGTTGCAGATCAGCCAAGAGATTAAAATAAGTATGTTTACAGAGACATAACTATTTAAAATATTTATAGAGAAAATAGTTGCAGATGATACAAAGTCAGACTCCAACAAAAACACAGCACAAATGCAGACACCATATGGTCCAATGTATGCGCTCATGACCTCATGTGAAAAGTAGGCCAAAGCTGTAGCGGCTGGGGGTGCCTCTCTTTCACCCCTGGAACAACAAACTCAGGGGTTTGGAAAGAGCTCATTAGAATCATGGCCACAGATGGGTGAAATCTATGGGTAACGTCAAAGGCATTAGGAAGAAACCTCTCAAAACAATTCTCCCTACATGTTTTTGCTTTGTTGGGGTTTCAAGACCAATCTCCATTTCTTTCTGACTACATGAAGAAGGTGCAGTCAGTTCAAGCACAGAGTTTTGTTCTTGTTGTTTTGAGGTGGAGTCTTACCCTGTCACCAGGCTGGAGTGCTATGGTGTGATCTTGGCTCACTGCAACCTCCGCCTCCCAGGTTCAAGCAATTCTCCTGCCTCAGCCTCTCGAGTAGCTGGAACTATAGGTGTGTGCCACCATGCCCAGCTAATTTTTGTATTTTTAGTAGAGATGGGGTTTCACCATGTTGGCCAGGATGGTCTCGATCTCCTGACCTCGTGATCCACCTGCCTCAGTCTCCCAAAGTGCTAGGATTACAGGTGTGTGCCACCGTACCTGGCCCAACCACAGAGTTTCTAATGAAATGGGGGTAGCACCCATACCTGTTGGGCTCTTTTGCCCTCTCCCAGTTATTCATTAGGCTTGAGTCAGAATCACAAAACACTGGGCAGAGGTCCCAGACCACCCCTCACATATGACTGTTCTCTTGATGTGCTCTGAAGCACCAGGGGTCAAGTTAAGCCAAGTGGTAATGAGAACTCTACATTTTGAGGGTCTAGCATATGCTAGGCTCTGTGCGAGGAACAGGTAAGAGAAGTAACTTTCAAAACAAAAGTGGAAAGTTAGTTTATCATTCTCCTTAAATAAATAAAAACATGTAGGCTTAGAGAGGTTAAGTAACTCACCCATGGTAACAAGTGGATGAAGGCTAAAATGGAACCACCACATTCCTTTGCGGGTCAAGCAGCAAGACGGTATATCTAAGGAAAGTTGACATTTGCAAGAACCTCATTCTTCTAGCAAAGGCCTCTGCAAGTGTCACTAAGGTAATACTGGGGAAGGAGTGGGAAGGAGAGTTGGGGGCAGGGATGCTAGTACATCACCAGGTGAAGCCTTGCAGGCTTCGGGAGGATGCCTTCAACCTGTGGTGCACCTCTCCCTCAACTCCTCTTACCCTCCAGCCTAGATACCTGAGGTTTATTTTCAAACTCCTTCTTCAAAGAGCTGAATTTCCCAGAAACTACCCCCAAAGGATTCTGAAACCATGTCGCATAGATCTCTTAATATTTTGTAAGGTAAGTGCCTTTCTCTATTTTAACAGAAAAAAGACAATTTCTAGCCATGATAGGAAAAGAAGGCAAAGCTATTCCTTTTCACATAGGGCTACACAACAAGTCGCTTGGGATGTCTGACATCATTCAGAGACAGGGAAAAAAATTAGAAGCCAGCTGAGGCATCTTCCTTGACTCTGGACTTTATATGACCACAATAAAATGTTCCATTTTGCAGGGCATATGATGTGAGTCAATACATGATGACAGAAGAAGCTAATGCAATGAAGTGACTGCTATTGAAGAATTACATAGCCCAGCAACACTTGTTCTTCTATATTCTGTGTTGCTTTGTTTTGAACTTCGTTTTAAAATTCTATGGCTGGCTGGGCACGGTGGCTCATGCCTGTAATCCCAGCATTTTGAGGCTGAGGCGGGCAGATCACCTGAGGTCAGGAGTTCAAGATCAGCCTGGCCAACATGGCGAAACCCTGTCTCTACTAAAAATACAAAAATAAGCCACGTGCGGTGGTGCACGTCTGTAGTCCCAGCTATTCGGGAGGCTGAGGAAGGAGAATTGCTTGAACCTGGGAGGTGGAGGTTGCAGTGAGCTGAGATCGCACCATTGCACTCCAGCCTGGGTGACACAGAGAGACTCTGTCTCAAAAAATAAAATAAAATAAAATAAAATTCTATGGCTGATGGCACCTCCAATTCATGAAGTTTTTCTATAACAGGAATACTTTGTATATGCATTGGTGGAAATTTGATGAATAAATGTCAATACGTGGAAGCTGGTCCATTTTTAGGCACAGAATTTGTGAAGTCTTTCTATCAAAAAAATTCAAATGTAGGTAATTAAGAAAGCATGTCCTATCAAAGACATTGAGCCTTCCAAACAATCTGGAATTCTGACCATTTATTTACCCTGGAAGCTGTTGTGAGCCTTGAATACTTTAACTTTTAATGAAGTGTTCAGTCCTTTTGTGATGGCATTGAAGTGTAATCAAACATTACCCCAAGCCAAGTCACACACTAGCATGTCTTGCCTTGTTTAAATACCTCAAATATATTTGAGTAATTGTGTAATGATTTCGAGGCCTCTGGTTGTCCATATGGTCTGAACAGACTGTCTTCAGTAGAGCAGTTGTGCTCTCTCTCAATGAGAAGGAACCAAATCATCTTTGCTCTAAACTGGAGAGCTTAGGAGATGCTGTTTAAATTTCAGGGTGACGCCCTACCTTAACTCTTGAAACACAACATCTGGCCCCCAGAACTTGCTGTGTCTTCCAGAAGTCTTGCTTATGTTTGTGAAACACACAAGAACAATGCAGCAGGCACTGAGTGACATATTTTATGCCATAAATGTCCTTAGGATACGATGACATGCTACGAGGGTGACACAGCAAAGCCATCCCTGCAACCACATGGAGTCTTTCTGGACAGAGAACATTCTAGATGGTGGAACTAGATCATCTCAGACAATGAAGACCAGTGAAAGGGTCTGGCCATTGGCAAGAAATCTGCTCTAATGGTCTCTGGGATGATGAGGCCAGCAAAGGAGCTGCTGATTTTTATAATTAATAAAATCCAAGAAGAGTTTTCAGAGATTTGGCTTAGGAGCCCCGAATTTAAACTTGGTTACCATGCCTTACAAATTACTCACATTATTTGTGTCCCTAAAAATTATCTCAGAGAAGGCCTGGAATGCTATGTTGGAAGGAATGCACCAAACTTATTATTGACCTATTATTTGATAATTCTTAGAGAAACAGTTGGGCATGGATTCATCTCCCAATCACTGGCCACCATAGGGTCCTTTGGAGGAAGTAACTCAGCAAAGGAGCAGTGGACAACTGAGTCTGCTGGCCTCTCTGTTCCTGCCCAACTTCAGGTTTCTGAAGCTGTGGAAGAAAACCATTTCACTGGTCATTAACAGTGCCAAATGTACAACACCATGGAGGCATGCATGACTTGTGAGTCTGGGGGTGACTGGAATGTGACAGAAGAGAATTTACCTTTTGTGCCTGAGGGAGCTGAAGGGGGAAAACAAAACAAAACAAAAAAGAAAAAAGTTGATCATTATATAAGTAATTAAGATTAATGGTAAAACTTCATTTTGTTGCCATTTGCAAATAGAGGAACCAAAATGGGGAGATGAGTGAAATAGAGGTAAAGCAAGTTATTTTTCACAACAAAACTACAGTGCTGATTATTTGAACTGCTTTCTGAATTTGTGGTATCAACAGTTAATCTATGAGCTTTCCAGCATGTGTTTTGGGAATCACCACATCCAAAGCAGCTGATAAGTTCCTATAAAGCTGGAACTGAGGCTCTTCTGTCCAGTGATCCAAAGGGCACAATTCCATGACCCAGTTCCTTCTTCCTTTAACCAGCAGTTTTCAACTGGACGAGGGCTATCTGGAGACATTTGGGGTGGTCACAACTAGGGGGTGAAAGGGAAGGGAGTGAGAGCTGTTGGCTTCTAGAGGGTAGAGGCCAAGGGATACTGTGGAACATCTTACAATGCACAGGACAGTCCCCAACAAAAAGAAATTGCCCAGCCCATATATCCATAGTGCCAAAGTTGAGAAACCCTGCTGTATATAAAGGTAAGACTGTTAGAAAAATGCTTGTTTTTAAAGTCAATTTTTCTTGCTTTGTAGCACATTAACTGTTCCCTTTATTGGTGGTTAAGGGAGTATGCACAAGCATTTGTGCATTTAAAGTAAAGCTGATGTTCTAAGAACAAGGAAAAGACAGTCAGTCAGTCCATAAAATAAGACATAACAGCTTTCCCAGTGGCACAGGCAAGGAACTGAAATTAATAGGTATGTGGAAAAAGATGAACATTTACGAGATGTATTTGTCTATATTTCTGTGTTGAGAGTATTAGGCTATGGTTTAACGCCACAGTATTATGACTGCCATTATAGCATGCAGTGTTTTTAAAAAGCATTTTTCTAATCTGGAATGGAATTAACATTATCCATGTATTAAATACTCAATCTAAGAATTACATCATTACCAAGATTTATTTTTCATCATAGGGACTAACATTTATCAAGTATGAACTTGTCACCAGGCACTTTGTTACGTCCTTGTATTATCCCATTAAATCACAGCAACCTAATGCTAGGTGTCCCTATTCTACAGAGGAAAACTAAAATGGAACTTAAAGGTTAAGTAATTATACAATGTCCCATAGATAAAGAATCACAGGACTGTGCTGCCTGACTTTAGAACAGACAAATTCAACTCAATTCACACATAAATAAAGACCCCAAACACTTGGGAATTGTGACAGTAAATTTGCTCTCTGTCTCTCTAGAGTTTATGGCATCAGAAGTGCTAGAAAATACAAAGCAACTAAATCAGACATCTTCAGGTCTCCACTTGAATCATCAGACTTTCCCATTCTTTTTACTCTGGGAAGAATGCTTTCTCTTCTGATACATGAAGAACAGGTCTCTCTTAAACTTGTCCAAAACCCCTGCTCCTATGGATGGAGCCCACAAAGAGCAGAACCAAACAAACAAGACGTTTTGGATCCCAGAGATGTCTCCAAAATGGTATTGAGAATGTCTATGAAAAGCAGATTCCAACTTCTCCAACACTCAATTTCCAACGCTTTTATCTTACACAGGCCTCCCAATTTAAGAAGACAGAAATACGAGGATGTTTTCCTGATTCATTCCTCCTAGTTAAGGCTGAATTATTCAAAAAGGAAGCTCATGAGCTCCTCCAGTGCTTTTCAAGAGTTCAGAAAAAAATGGACCACGAGGTGAGAAACTGAGTTCAAAATGAGGAATCACTTTTAAAAAAGTTTCTCAAATATTAAACATCTTTTCACACAACAGAAAAGAAACCTTGGATACATGAACATCGTGGAAGGAAAAATGTATATTTTCTTAGGAAAGTGTTTTTGCTGAATCACAGCTATGTCCTGTGAAAGCAAGGGGCCATGAGTATGACAAATGTTTGATGGAGTGCAAAATAAATACCAAAGTGAAGCCCTGCACAAACTGCTGGACTTTGCAGGCCTCTTTGACAGGAGAGCTGCTCTCTCGCTCTCTCGCTCTCTCTCTCTCTCTCAATTTTATCTTTGTTGAGCAGGAAACACCTCTTTTTGACTCATCCATTTAAGCACATGGGAAGAAATCCTGGGAAGGAAAATGACAGACCAGGTCTTTGTGGTGATGTCCTCAGTTTAAGACTGCCCTCAACCTCCCCGCAAAACATATATTTTCCTCAAGCAATAACATAGGAGAACAAAGAGTAACTTTCCTACTGGAGCTTTGAAATAATGTAAATTACAGCTTGTGATGCCCTCAGCTGGCTGGACCTCTCTGAAGGAGTCTCAGTGCAGAATAGTACACATTTACATCAGATCCTCTGTGGCCACAGATGCTGCTGCTGAGAGCTGGCTCCCCAACACATCACCACCCAGCATTCATGACTTGCATGCAGGCCCCTGCCCTGGGGGCCAGACCAGCCAGATACCTGGTCCGCTTTGGCCTCTGGCTCAAGTCTTGAGGCACAGGCCTTCCAGCCTCTGGCCAGTGTGCTTGTCTGTAACGTGGATGATGGAAAGAGGGCTGGGGAATGGCCAGGTCTTGGATGGGCGTCGGTTTTGCCTCAAGAAGCAGCTCTGACTAATTAGGAATGGCTAGACGAAAGGCTATGTTGAGAAGGATCCTGAAGTCATGCCTGAGTTTCACTGGAAAGAATTTTATCACTAGCCAGGTGCGGTGGCTTATGCCTGTAATCCCAGTACTTTGGAAAGTCAAGGTGGGCAGATTGCTTGAGTCCAGAAGTTTGAGACCAGCCTAGGCAACATAGTAAAACTCCATCTCTACAAAATATACAAAAAAATTAGCTGGGAATGGTGGCACATGCCTGTAGTCCCAGCTACTCAGAAGGCTGACGTAGGGGGAATCACCTGAGCCCAGGATGTTGAGGCTGCAGTGAGCCCTGATAGTGCTACTGCACTCCAGCCTGGGCAACAGAGTGAGATCCTGTCTCAAAAAAAAAAAAAAAAAAAAAAAAAAAAAAAAAAAAAAAAATTTTATAACCAGATAGCAGCATTTGTTATAAATAAGAAATGGCAAAACATTTCCTGTGCTTTTTCTTTATAGTTCTGAGCACAACTCCAATGACTATGCAATTTTTTCATGTAATGCCTTTCTGTCCTGCTAGGTCACAAACTCCAAGAGGGCAGAGAAGGCATCTTCCCCATACGTAGTGTGAAGTCCTCTAACCTGTAACTGGTACTTTCCTTGTTAAATAAGCTACCTTATTACTAGGATAAGCCCAGAGTTGATGCCAAGGAAAGATAATCAGGGTTACTGCCTTGAATCTTTGAATAAACACCCCACCACCACCATGTTAATCACCCAAGCTGATGGCCTTCAAGAGAAAAATATGTCGGCTAGAGGAATAGATGTGAAACTTACATTCCCACATGCCTGGTATAGGTGTCTGTCTATGAGTGATTGTCTCAGTGACTCCTGGATATGCATAAAACCAGCCTGGGCACTTCTCATCATCATGAGGCCCCAGATGAGGTGACATCTCTTCCCCAACACATGGGGGAGATGTTTTCTTCTTCAAAGCCACCTTGTCACAGGCATTGCCAACCAGGCTTTGCCTTGCTGGGTCTATTTCCTCATTTACTCCATGAGGGGTCTGGACAGGCAGACCCCTCAAGGAACCAATTCCTTCCTGGCCCACAACGCAGATTGTAAGATTCTCTGTATAACTGAATACATCCTCAAGTCATTTTTCCAAAAGAAGGATAAAGAAAAAAGTTGTGGTGTGCTGTGTGGGTTTACACACTCCTAAGAAAAAGCTGGGTGCAGGATACATTTCAGGTGAAACTTCACATTCAAACATGGAGAGTGTGTATTCAGAAGGGAATGAAGGAGAGGAAATGATGAAGATAAAGGTGACAGCAGTAACAGAAATACTCACTGTTGATTGGACTTTTTCCTTAAACCAGGTACCTGGTTAAATGCTTGATCAGTTTTAGCTCTTTTGCTTTTTGTAGTGAATCTCGGGATTAGATATTTGTATCTTCTCAGTTTATAGGTGAGGAAACAGACAATATTTAGAATGGTTAAGTATCTAACCAAGGTCACCTAGTCAGGAAATGTTCCTGTTGAAAGTTAAGGACAAGGCTCTGTGTGGACCCACATCTGCTCCAACCAGTGCTACTTCTCACATGACCACACAGTAGCAGCACAAACCCACACCCCCAAAGGACTTGGGGACCTCATGGGCCATTCCATCTGGGCAACCCATAAAAGAAAGCAGGGATGAGAAATCCTGGCATCATTCCTTATGGAAGAGTCTGGATGGAGGACAGAGAACCCAGCCACCATGGTTTTCAACATGTGGTGTATCAGGTGAATGGTACAGCATGAAGATTGTCCATGCCCTCTCCAGTCACATACATTTGTTCTGTCCTCTCATCCTGGAACTCTTCCTAAGACTCCTCTCCACTTGCCTGGCAAACACCTATTTCTCTGGTCAGTTGTCTGTGTCTCAAAGAAGACTTGTTTACCCTTTCTTGTCATATGCTCTTTTCACAGGCCTTCATAGTACCACATACCTGCAACTGGTAGCAAAGTTATTGCCATGCTGCTTTTCTTTTTTGGTACCAGAAACCCCAATTTTAGCCAAGCTCAGCTAAATGACTTTATTAAAGATAGGGGCGGTTAAGTGGGTTCAGTCATGGCCAATGAGATATGCATGGATGTGGCTTTTCCAGATGGTATCTTTAAAAGGACTCCCTCCATCCTGCTGCCAAGAAGGTGGCTGTGATGGCTAGAGCTCTAGCAGTCATTCTGGCCTATGAGGTTATCTTAAGGCTGGCAGTAATGCACTAGGACATTGAGGACAGCAGTAATGACAGGTGATTATGATAGCTGTGACATGCTATCCACCATTCGAAGTGCTTTACCTATATTAACTTATTGAAAACTCACAGTAATCTTATTAGGTAAGTTCTATTATTACTGTAATTCTGCAGATG